CATGAATCTGATTTATAACTGGTGGTAAAACTTTATTATTCAAGTTTAGATGTAACAGACATCTTTGCTGCCTGAAGATTGTTTGCATAAGAAATACACCAAGAACATGTTTGTGAGTAGAAATGAACATGCACTATGAAAACCAAAAAAACAAAACAAAACAAAAAACCCAAAACAAAACAAAAAACACATCCATGTGTTGTAAGGACAAAACATTAAGAGCCAACATTCTAGAGTCAAATCAGGGCTACAAGTTTAATGATGGTTTTTAGCAACATGAAGTCATTCTTTATGAAGCACTTTTTTTTCTTTTTTTTTTTTTCCTTTTCCTGCTGGTGAATTTACTATAAGCTAAATTTACAATGGCATTTTGAGATGTTTCCTTTTCTCCTGTTCTCCTTCTACATAGAGCTCAGAGGCCAAAATGATAGGAATGGAAAACTGTGGTTGCTGTTACAACGTTTATTCTGAGAATTTTACTTGACCAAGTGTACTCAAAAACCAAATGAAATTGCTATTTATCTGGCTGGCAGCCGTTAAATCACTGACTTTTATTCTCTTAAAAAGAGGCAAATTGGGGTATATGTGACTACTGTATAGGTAGCATCTCACCAACTGCCAGCTTTCCATAGCCGGCTGAATGAAATGACATTGTGAGGAAGAGGATTGGGAGGAATCCTATTCTGGCATGAGGAAATCATGCAAATCATTCTACTTGGCCCATCTTAACTACAGAAAAGTTTAAAAGGGATTTCTCACTTATCTATCACATTTGGGATATGTTGACAAATCGCTCACTACTCTTTGCCAAGCATAACTGTCTCCACAGAAGCAGAAGGAAATATATCTACCCTTCTGGCTGCACAGAAGTGAACTTTTAATCTCTTTGGCTTTTCCTGACCAGTATTCGGAATTAACATGTTAAGTCAGCCAAGAAAAATCAATACAGGAGCAAGACCAAGAATATATTTAGACATCCTGGGCAAAAAGCAGATGGTAGACAACACCCTTAGCACATATAGCAAGTAGTTGTGACTACAAAGCAACACTGTCCAGTCCAAAGAGGGACTGGAAAGTCTCCCCCAGAAATGAGTACTAATCCACGGTTGTCAAATCAGGTCTCCTCATTGCACAACCACGACGTTTCAGCTCTGTATACAATTGGCATCGGTCACTTATGTCCTGCTGCACCTCTTAACTGCAAAAATCTCCCACCTACAGCGTGCCTCAACTTATTGAGATGTCTCTACGTGCTCTCTCTTTAAAACTGTCACAATGTGCAACAGCACATTTTTTAGGCAAAAGCGATATAACTATCCAGTGTCCCTCCCCCTTTGTGGATGGTCCATGAAAAATTAGGGGGGAAGTTTCATCAGCACAGTGGCAATGAGGTGCAAAACTTCCTTTAGAAAGCACTCTGAGTTTTGCACCTGAACGCAAATTGTGCTCTGGAAAATCTTCGTCTCCTGCTGCACTAACCCAGGGGCAGCAGCCATGAAGTGATTGCTTAGAGACAGTCCATTTTGCAGAAGATGCTGCATGAGGGTTCCCGCTATACAGTGAAAACAGTTCCTGCTCTGCAATCTGATTAACGGCTGGCACCACAAATCCTATGGTTTTTAACCTTCTACTTATTTTGTGGTCCAGTCTGAGATACGTTTTAAGATCTCAAACTGCCATTCCCTAGTAAGAGAAGTACATCACCTTGTTCTCAATTTCCCAGTGTCTTCAAAGAATGATTCTTTGCAAGTTCAACTTTTAGTGCTGTAAGTTGACAGAAGTGCCATGGGTGCAGTAATTACTTGTGTGTGCCAACACTGCTTTCCATCTGAGAGTTATTAAATCCTGACACTGAAAAATAATAAACTTATTTCTTGTTCTTTTGATTAATATCCATTGTCAGGGGGTCTGGAAGAGGGATGGAGTCACCCCGCTTTTGTTAAGAAACAAAACTGCTCCCCCTCTCCCCTCCCCTCCCAGTTAAACAGAACAGGCTATGGCAAAATCCCATTTCTTAAAAAGCAGAAATCTCAGAACATCTCAATATGTCATGGCAAGAAAAATGAACTTTTTTCAAATTTTATTTGCACCATTTAGGTGTGCAATACTAATATTCAGAAATCTGTCTTGTTCTTTGCACTCAGAAGATTTCATTTCTCCTCATCCCCAAACCCTGATATGTGCATTTCATGTTATTGGCCTCTGCTTCGGAGTTTAGCAAGAGGTGTTATGAAGTACAGGGTGGTGCTCAAGTCTTACAACGTGCATGTCCCCCCTAAAATATTTTGCCATGAAGATGCAGCTTCCACCAGTGAAGAAGCCACAGGATCTGGTAGGTCTTAGAAGTAAGTCAAACCATTAACTACTGATAACCGGCAGGCAGCTACTTTGAAGCCGACAGAAATCACTGCTTAGAGAGTCTAACATGTTTCTTGGAAAAGCTGAAAAGGACAAACAGTGGACCCTGACGTAACAAAACGAGGGCAATCTATTTCAGTCCCCACAGAAAAAAAAAACAGAAACAAAAAATACCCAATAAAAATAAATCCACAAAAACCAAGTCAGAACTTATTATTGGAGAACAATAGTAAAAATATAACCAGACTTTGTCCGGCACTGGTGTCAAGCAGGAGATTCATCTAAAAATAACAGAAGAAGAAGAATGTGGCCCAATATCCTTTGCTAACCTAGAACACTATTGAAGGGTTATAGAACTCAACCATGAACAGATTGAGTGGGACTTTCCATATGCTGCTCACCAGTATAGAAGCAATGGGCGGAGCAGGAAGGAATGCAAGCCTAATGCTGAACAACAGCCTGTCCGTGCCTAACGAATCAGAGAAACTGTGCAGTTTCATCTGTGTGAAAATGTAACACCTAAAATACTGCCAAGGTCAGCAAGACCTTTGGTGATCAGCTGTGTAAGTGCTTCTCATGCATCGCGATGTTCACTGCCGGCTGCTTTAGGCACAATATTATTCAAGAGACTATCAAAGTGCTGAACATTTAGGCCAGTTCCTCCCTGGTTTTCCTTTTGCCAACCCCTATAAGACATTTCCTATCACCTCTCCATCTATCTTCCATCTCCCTGTCTATCTGGTTAAGTATCTTATAAGTGCATCAAATTCTAGAAGGGAGAGTGGTGAGATTTCAGGTAAGTTAAATACAAGAACTTTTTTTATGATGCTTTAGTTTCAATTACATGAAAATCTGAGAAAGGCGGCACGTAAGTGAGATCAGAATAGGACCCTTTACATATAATCTCAAGTGAGGACTTAGTCCAGAGATATTTTTATAGAACATTTTAAAAAATAAAATGCATGAATGGAGAAATAAAAGACAACATAATATCAGAAAGACATTTTAAACTTCATTCGCTGCAACATTCATGAACCAGTTGAGCTACACCTGCCATCCAACCATAAGGAACTAAGACCCTGCACTGCGAAAAAGAAACAAACCCAAACAAAACAAAAAAGCAACTGCGTAATATTGTAAAAATGGAGTGCAATGCTACTACAGAATGCAATAAAACATCAGTGCTGCATCGTCAGACAGCACTTATCAAAATAATTTCTGAAATGTTTCTTCTGAAACACAGACAAAGCAATAAAAAGAGGATATATGTTTATCATTTTAAGCATAACAATGTGAGTTAAGAGCTTAAGAATACAAAAGTACTTGGAATGAATAGTGCTACCCTTTTTTTCCTAAGTAGGCATAAAAATATTTTCATTTCCTTCTTGTTTTTCCATACCATTAATATCAACAAATTTCATTCATTTCATGTTATCGTTTACAACTTTAATGCACACACACAGAAAAAAAAGATACCTACTGCAATAGAAATAGTTGCTTCATTACCTTGTTTGCTACATTTGCAAATGTAAACAGCGAGGCAGAGCCAGAACTGACTCTAATGCATGATGGAATATCTTTGTTGCATACGTACACTGTAGAAAATAATTATTCAATATGTCAGGCACCATTATTTGAAATGTAATACATTAATATTTACTAGAAAAATAAGGTTTTTTCTATTTGTTCTCCCAACTTCTTTAATGAAATAAGTTAATCTGACAGTGCATCCAGTAGCTTGTAATATCTTCTACATCCCTGTGGCAAAATAATAAACTACTGGTTGGGACACTATAATGAAAATGATTAAAGTCAGTTCTTGTACACCCTTGTAGCAAGCATGGAGGCTCGTCTAACAGCACCTTTAACCAATTATTTAATATTTAGTTATTTAGCCCTATTTCCCTGAGCAGTTATGCTGAGGAGCTTTCCCTTCATGGATAGTTTTTACAAAGCCTTAAGTATTAAAAAGTACTATGAAGACATTTAATGCTACTTAGCAAAAGCTGGTATAAGTCTACTGAAGGGATTGACTGGTATGTATAGCAATGTTAAGCCTGTGGAGAAGTAACCTTAGACCTTAAGGTTTAGAAATGTAATATATTAAAAATATATTAAAATAAAATACAGCAGGTTACCTTGTTCTATGCAAATTAAACCCGGAGTGTGGCTTCTGCATTAAGAGACTTCACTTGCACAAAATGGTTTTCCTAGACTAGAGTGTGCCAGAAAGAATGTAGTGATAAAATGGTAGCTAAAAAGCAGCTGAGTCTGAGAAACACCTAGATGAAACTGCTGCCAAAGCTTTGAGGACAGTGATCCTAAGGCATGTTGTAGGGCAGAAATTAGCCCAAATTAAAGAAAAGAAAATGACTGTTTAACATCTGTATATTTAACAAGTCTAGTTCTTATATACAATGTGCATATGTTCACTACACCCCTGCAGCAGTATATACATATACACATCTCTGCACTCTTGCCAGTTATGTCTCTTACACAACAGCAAAGGTATTAATTGTCCGGTAAAATTTTCTCAAAGTTATTCGGCATGATTCACTGCATTCTGGCTAGCTTTGGTGGGCCGTGTCCCATAGAATTATCTTCTCCCCCTTCTGGCCACCATCCAACTGTTCTTTTTTTTCTTGGTAACCCACTCATTTAAAAGGAAAAAAAAAAGAAAAAAAAAAAGAAGAAAGAACAAAAAAAAAGAACAAGGGATTTAATATTGGATAAGGCATGCTCTCTATATGAAGTGCTTTATAGGTCTTCACAAGACATTACAAGCTATTGAATTCCCATCAAGGAAACCTATTTCTGTTTAATTGTGCTAAGTGCTAAGGTTTACTCTTTAGGTTTTCCATTCTTTTCAGCTTGTGCATTGTTCCTGTGTAGGCCCCTCTGGATGTGAGTTGTGAAGTCATACTTGTCCGTGCAAAGATGCTGGCATATGCTGCACTGAAAAGGTCCACTGTCACCATGGCAACTCATATGCAAAGCATACATCACTTCATCCAGAAAGACAATGCCACAGTGCACACACTTGGTAGAAAGTTCATCTTGAGTACTTCTATCAACTTTCTCTGTTTTTACTACATTCAAGGGACCTTCATTTTTTACATTTGGTGGTGCCTTACTCTTTTCCTTGGAGGCACCATTTGCAGTTGGCCCAGGTCTGGAATGCTTTATCGCCAAATCTAGAGGAATGTCATTGTCTGATCCGACAGCTGAAAAATGAGGAGGCAGATTAAAGGTGGGATAAGGCACATAGTTTTGGCAAGGATTTGGTAGGCCAGGCACATGACTCAAGTAGTGTGGATTCCCAGGAACAGACAGCTTATATTTACTCCAGAATCTCAGCCAGTCAGCTTCACTCTGAAAGTCATTGTGTACAAACGGAAGTCCAAAAAGTGGGTACTGGTATTTTTCAATAGGGCTTCCAGGCGGTGAATAGTTTGGGTGTTTCGCAGGTCTCATGTATTTTTCTATTGGGCTGCCTCTCTCTGAGCTTCCTTTCCCTTCTGATATCGATGAACTGTTTCCTGGGTCTCCAGTACTTTCCTGAGGACTTTTTATCTGAATGTGCAAAGGTTGCATCCTTTTGTGAATATCCAGAGTTTGGCTGACCAATATTGGCTGCTGAGCAGAATGGCTTTTAGTCAATGAACCTGGGGCCTCATATTTACTGAGGCTGGGAAGCTGAATTTCTCTCTGATGACCTTCAGGTAAATGATCCTCTGACCTCCTCTCTAAGGGGCTTCCATTGACTTGCTCCTCACTGTTACCCCTCTGCTGTTTGTTTAGCTGCTCAGCCTGAAGTGCCTCCGGGTTAAGGCGCTTTCTTGTTCGTCTCCTAATGATCTGCTCACCATTGTTCTGCTTAATGATGTTTAAAGGCCTGGGAGTCTGCGTGGAACGCACACACAAGGAACAAAAGGAAAAAAGAAAGAGACATTAAACAAACCTGCAAGACCACAATCACACAAATTTGTCTTTTGTTAAGAGATGTAATATAAGAGTTTTATAGGAATGACCAAATTTCAACTCAAACGCTGGTTCCTGGCCCCTCATGCTAAAAGTAAAGTATGAATTGGTTTGTTTTATCAAACTAAGTCAACATCCTTAGACATCCTATACCTGTTTACTTAAACAGGCATGAAGCATCCAAGATGTCAAAGCATTTATTACCCCTTACTCCTGAAAAATTGTTGGGGATATGTGCTGAAAGGGGGTGCTGAGAGCTGGGGATGAGGTGGGAGACACACGGCCCTGTGCACTAGCATTATTCTATGCAGCATGTCACCAGAGCTGGCGCTGGGCAGAGGTTTGTATGGATCACACTGTGGTAAGAACTGGCTAATGCTAACTTTGATACCCACCCTCCTTTGACATGGATAGAAAATGCAAGCAAATACATGGCTTGCTGACCACCAGTGCTGTCACCTAGAAAAAGGGCACGCTGTGATGGCGAGTGGGATGATGGTGGCTGGAAAGGAAGAAAGATAAAGAAGAAAAATGTTTGGCTAAGCACCAAAAGGTCTACCTGGCACCTTGGTACCAACTCCCCCTGCATTATCCCTACTGTATTTCTTTCTACATGTTACTGATGTTGTCATGAGAGAGAGGAGGCATCCTCTGAAGATGGGGAAAAAAGGTTCTGTAAAGAAAAAAAGCACTGAGAAAGAGGCAGGGGGCAAGAACCAAGTGAGGACTTCTGTTTCCATCTGCTATGTCCCCACAGCAGCTCAGGGTAGGTGGCCTATTTAGATGAGAACCGAAAATATTTTTGCGTGAAGAAAAAAAAATAGCATGAGGAAGGACAGCAGCCAGGCTCTTTTGAAAGGCCCCTCAACAGGAAGGCCATGGTATGAGAATGAAAGATGGTGCTGTAACGTCGGTATGTGTTGCTTTACTGGGCAGATGTTAAAAAAACAAAAACTACCTAAAAGTCATTCAGTTTGGTGTGCTGGCAGTTGCCATTTGTCTCATCCAAATGCACACATAATCCTGTTTTGGTTGGAGGCCAGAAAAGTGCCTCACACAGTATTCCACTTACATGTTTATTTGGAAATTTTCTTTTTAACATTGTTTTGAAGTACAGATTAAATTCTGGCATACAGTCAATATCCAAAACAATTTGCACCTTGAATGTTACATAATTTATATATATTCGTAACTTTGAATTAATATAAAAATAACCAGAGCTGGAAGAGTGCTCATTCTTTTCTTTGTAGACATCTAGTTTCTCTCTTGACTTGTCATCTTCCTCTCCTCTTTCACCTATTTATTTCCTTGAGGTCAGCTCATTCTTAATGGCTAACTAAATTTTAGGAAGTGCAGCTACTTGTTAAGATTATATTTTCTATTAAAACTCTGAATTAGAAGAATTATACACTTTGGTTCAAATTTTTAATAAGCAAAATTTAAACTTAGCAGAAAAACAGCACCTCATAAAGCCTCCTCAAATAGATCAAAGTTGAGGCAAAATCATGTTTAGATAAAATTAGAATATTTTGTATGTTAATTCTATACAAATAAAGTTTATAATTTGCAGAATCAATAGCCAATTAATATGCATAAGCACATACTGTTTATTACAAGCTCAATGTAATTTCCTCACCTTTTCATGACAATTGTAACACTGTCTTACTGACAAGCTGTGTGAGATCTTTCAAGGTTGTTGATGTTACTCATTAAATTTCTATCTATACACTACACAGCATTTTCATGTGCCTTCCAAATAACCTTTCAGTAGTTTGGAAATACTTTTAGTCTTACTCTCCATGCTACAGGTATGAAGTCTGATCCTGGAAGCAGTTAAAAAAACACTTCCACACCTGTGATTAAGGACACTCACACACTTGTTTGCAGCTCAGGCTCTTCCAAGTTACATGCCATTAGGACTTAAAGGCTGTAGGTCGAACTTCAAAATTCTTCAGCATGAAAATGACTGTACTCCTCTGATTAGCCTTAGGTGATTAAAACAGACTACTCAGTGGAGTAAAGCTACTCACATTTTTCTTACTGACAGCACCAAGGTGCAGGTAGAAATACTCTGTATTAGGCTGCAACTGAGGCAGACAGAAAAGTTTGAGCTTTCTTCTTGATTTTCAATGGGGCAGTAAATCTAGAAAATAGTGGAAACATTACCAGAACGTGGCTTTTAAAGTGCCCTATGTCAGATCACTAATTATATGTTATAGATAACATAGTGAGTGTGATCACTAAGAATTTTTTGCCATCTCTATATCAACTGGCAATCTCTCAACACCAAATACATGAGTAACTTTAAAAAAAAAATTACAAAATTCCACAAATAGTTCAGTAAATTATTGTGATTGCAATTCCTACATACCACTGGAAATCGGGGTGATCTCTCCACTAGAAGATCACGTATGTCTAATCCTAGAAAAACATGCTGTAACTCCTCACTGAAGTAGTCAAAGGATGTGGACCAGCAACCACTATGGAACAAAATCTAGTTTTCCATGACTGAGTTACAGGTATTAAAAATGAGGAACAGCACTACAATAAAAATGGTCAAATTCATGATTCTGAGGAGACAAGGGATATATCTTTGTCTGTCATCAAATGTGAATACTGTATGTAAGTCTGCAGTGAACGGGAAGCCTTTTTTTTCACTAAAACTATTTTAATAATTGAACATTGGAATATTATTACACATTTCTTAACATAGCTGTCTGCATTAGAGTAGAGGAATGCAAAAAATCTGGCAAGTTACATGTAAATGACCTCTAGATAGATTGAACATTTTTGAAAATATGTTGAAAAATTATTCAAGAGTATCATAGAAATGGAAATCACTACAATGTTAACACCTGTCAGTCACTACCACCTAGTAGTATCTGACAGAACATAGATGCATCTTCTTACTAGATACTAATTAAAAAAGGACCTCAGAGTTTAGTGTACTATACATATTCTTGAGGTAATGCAGGACAGTAGTTCTAGATGGTGATAATCCAATCAAAAGGGAGCTATGAAATCTCTAAATCTACTACAGGCAAACTATACTCAGCTGTGTAGCAAAATTTAGTTTAATCAGTGGCCCACAGAAGGGAACAGTACTTTTCCCTTGAAAATTCAGAGTTTCAGATCTTTACCTAATAACTACATAATCCTAGACTCCTTAATTCAAAAACATGTATGACTGTAATTTTTCGTGACGACGTAGCTAGCTAGGCAGACACACAGACAAAATAAAATTTCACCTTTCTGGTGCTGGTCTAAAGAGCATTCCTTTGCAGGGGGCTGTTTCAAAAGGTGTCCCAAAGGAGAGATCTGTTGGATTATTTCAGACTCCAACTTACAAGAGAGTTGCTATCATTCCACAGTAGGGTGGAAGCTTAATTAAATGTTTTGCGCTTGTTTGGTCAAAGTTCAATTGAAGATATTAATGTCAAATGTCCACTGAATGACAGCTTCTTGCCTTGCTTGAACAGTGGAGCTAAAAGATAGTGTCAGCTTCTTGTTTTCTATACGTGTAACAAAATTAAGATATTGTATTGGTGATTATTACTGCTGGAAGCACACTAGTTTGTTCCTACTGGTTCCTAAGAATTATCTGAGCTATGTGTTTGAATTCAAAACTGATTCTTGTAGCTTTTATCTGTTCATTAAGTTATGCTAATAGTCACTGTAAAGTCCAACACCATAGCTTAGAAAATGTATTAAAGAAAAGGAAAATGGGGGCTGTGAATGGAAGCTCCACAACTGACTGGACTCAAACGTCAAATTAATGTTAAAAAGCCAAACTGTCCTCCTTAAAATCCTTGTGGATGCTTACCACTGATCAGCTTCTTTAAATTAGACATTATATCTACAACTTGGAGATATATCCAGGAAGATGATACTTTCATCAAAACTCGGGCAAGATGGTGGCCCGAGATTGTGCGTTAGTCCACCTTCTCCCACTCAGATGTTATCTGACTGTCTGGGTTGATCTGGAGCTTAAAAATGATTACTTGACCTCAGAATGACAGCACATGGCAAACAGAGCTAACCTTTCAGACTGGTGATGGACTTGCTGCTTTCAAAATTTCATATCTTCTTATTTTTATTAAGTGGGCTGGACAGATCTTGAGTAAACAGGATTGTTATATGGCCTGTACACAAGACCAACAGTAAAATTCAAAGAAACGACTAATTGATTTAGAGCTTATGCCTCAGATTTAAAGAGAAATAGGCACAGGCACTTGGGATGCACTAAATGCATTTGAAATACAATTTTGTAAGTGTTGGTTTGGGTTTTTGTTTGTTTGTTTGCTTGTTTTTTAATGGAATCTCTGAAAAAAAGTTGTTAAAAATACACCCCCTCAGTCCCAACACAGATTTCTGGTTTGGGCTCTAAGCCTGAGTTGTTATGTTGCCTTGGCAAACTCCCAAAGGCTGCCTCAGTTTCTACTTCTGAAAAATAGTAACACTTTTTAACTTTATGGGCATGTTGTAAAAATTAATTAATTAGAGTCAAATCTTGGTCACCTGATTGTCTCATGTGCTTCTATTAAAGATAGCAGGGATAATATTTAACTAGTGGGTCTTAACCTAAAAGATTCTGAGCATTTGGCATTGATCCAAGGAAACACTTAAGCATACATTTCCTGGACCTGGACCAGAGCATTCAACATCTTTCAGGATCAAGCCAAGTGTCGATAAGATGAAAAGCAATATAGACAGTCCATGATTATTACTTATTCCCTGCCTGATCCTGAGGGATGGTGAATCTTCTCCTCACCAAGTGAGGAGTGCCATCAAGTGAGCAGCATCCTTGTTGAGCTGTTTGAGAATCGTCCAGCAGACTATAAAAACTGTAGAAAAAAGAACAAAAAGACCCACCACCCCATATCTCCAGGAAATTTACTGACAAGAATAAAGTGGAGAAGACAAGTAAAAGAAAGCAAAAATCCCAGCAAAGGATATTTTTGATATAGATGTGATGTCTAACTTTAAGAATTATTTTTTTATTACAAACATGAGAGGCCTCAAATTTAGACAGCTTTCATCACAACATGCTGTATGCCTTTAAATGGAATTGCCAGAAAAGAAATAATTTTCCCCTTATTTCGTATCAAAATAATTAAATGCATCACTAGTGATCTCAAACACGTCTACCCACAGCATCCCAGCCTGTTTCATAATGAATTACATCTGATCCCAAAGTGACCATACTCCAAAAGCCTGTTAGGAAATTAACTGCAGGCCAGGGAGTGGTACTAATCACAAGACCACAGCTGCCCAGCTTAGCTGCATAACCCCTTTTTTTTCTGAACAAACCAGTAAGTTCTTCCTACCGAGTGAAGCTTCTGGTAGAGGCCACACGCATTGCATACATATCCACCATTTGCATTCTTTCGCCAGAGAGAGGTCTTTGTGGTCAGGCAATTGGCACAAAAAACACCCGAGCCTCTACGTCTCTGAAATAAGGAAGAAAAAGAAAAAAAAAAAACACAGAGAAAAAAAAAAACAGGTCAGAGGTGAGTCACATGAGCTGCGGACAAATCAACACAGGAGTTTTGTCTCTAGACTGGCAACAATGACAGTATAAAACCACACTGCCCATAATGAGGTCAGGTTCAATTGTGCTTAATAGGCACCACTGATTTTCATTATAATTAACCCTAGAGTGATGGATGAGGTGTGTGAAACACCAAAGCCTTTTCAGAATAACAGCTTTAACTTTTTGAACTTCAGGTTTTGTGCATTTAATGATGGCTTCTAAACAGCAAATTCCGAAAAACCCCTCTGGAAGCTGACAGAACATTCTGTAAACTTCTCCTGGTTTGTTCATCACATTTCAAACCAGATTATTTCTCTTTAGTTTGTTCGATTTTGAAGTGTGATCGGTAACAAGAATTCTGAAACACCACCACTTTACTTAATTACAGTTCGTATCTGCGTCATACTATTTCCTTTAACAAAGATTATACTTCATTAATTGAATACATGATATGCACTTCCAGTCGTTCCCACTTACTTGTGAAATCAGTAGGAGCCACCATATATTTCCCACAGCCCACTAAGAATGAGGAGTAACCTCTGCCAAACAAATAGAAGTACAGTATCCTTATTGAGACTTCTTTTGAACTTCACCCGAAACCCCAGAAAACAGTGTCTCACCGATGGATAGATTTATTTATTTTATTTTAGTCAGACAAAGAAAGACACAGTACAACTTTCCTAAATACAAATTGATTTTTAACCAGACTGAGCTGTGCATTCATCAGCTTTTATACTGATCCAGGAATATTAAAAGTAGACACGTTTATGAGTACTGCTCATTAAATTCTTTCTACAGAGTAATGATTTCATTACACTTCTCATTTTAGAAAAGTCGGGCTGTGTTTGTGGGCACAAATACTAATAAGCAGGAAATGGAATTCTTTTGCTGAAAAAATCCCCCTGAATTTCAACTCTGTTCCCTTTTTGCAAAGGAAAAAAATCAGTAAGAAACCTTCAGCATCTAAGATAGGAATGGGTCAGTACACGGGAAAACAGCCTGGGTGAAAACTAATTTTATTATAAATTAAAAATTATTAACACTATAAGTAAAAATTTCAGGGCTTCATAAAATTTAAGTAATTTATTTAACTTTAGTCCATACTGTAGAAGACGGGTGTTCATGCCAAAAAAATACAATGGTTATAATTGTACTCCGATACATTTCAAATGGAAAGCTTTCTGCAGACATAATTTTGGCTTCAAGACTGGAACACTTTCTTGGCATTGAAAGGGCATTTGATTCATCGGGTGTTTCACAATGTATCACTAAAAAGACCTGGTGAGCAGCCAGTTCCCTATAGGGTAATTTTTCCATCCAGATGCAAGTGCTATCAGAGGCCCTCGTCAGCTAAACTAATTATGATCTTGCATTTGCTGATGCCTGCTCACTCTAACGTTCGACATCCTCCATTAATCATCAATACAAGGAAAATGAATGAAACTTAAAGAAACGAGGGCTGGTAAGCTGCACAGCCATAAAAATCTGAAATGAGTGCAATAATTTAACAAGATTGGGGAAATGTTTTTGGTGAGCACAAAGTCAGGCTAACAATTGCCCTTTTAAACCAAGAACACAATTTCATTAGTACAGCAGGTTGTGCTACTTTAAAGTGATACAATAAAATCGAGATTGTCGTCAAGATAATCTCTCTCTCAACCCTTTACATCACCCCCTACTTTGTCTCTTAAATCAGAAGCAGTAATATAGCATATTTTTCTCAGATTGACTTAGGGCAGAACTAAATGGTAGTTGATGTCCTTCACCGAGCATCTGACTGGTTGTGTATGTATGACACAGCTCGCTCTGGGAAGGTGCACTCACCTACAAGTAAATTGAATCTCCCCATTCTTTTTGTGGTTGCATATCCTTCCATAACTTCACCTGGCTGCTGAAATATTTTCCTTAGGAGTACAATAAAAGCTTCACTAAACTAACCCCGATTTGGTCTACTTGAAGGGTGAGAAGTTTCCAAGTGGAAATGACTGTATATGGCTGGGATTCAGGTACAACTGTAGATCTGTTCCTTTCCATTCCTACTTTTGTTTGCTGGCCTATGGCTTCTTGGTGTGGTGTATTAACCAAGTGGAGTCTTAATCTGAGTGAGACTTTCCACCCTTTCATTTCTGTTTGTGTTCCTCGAGTTTGGGTAATACCATCTACAATGTTCTGGAAGTCTTTTAAAATGCAGAGTGAGCGGTCTAGTCTATACACTGCATTTGTACATAGCTTGTCATAATGGTGACAAGTTGTAGTAACACTGAAATCTTCACTGAATGCTATAGAACAAATATATCTTTAAAATAATGACGAAAGTAACTAATTTTTTCAAAGAAAGATCTGATTCAAACTGGACATTAGTTGTAATGAAATAATACAATGATTATCGCTGACAACAACCTACAAATTATCTAGTAGTACCTATATATATCAAAAAACTATACCTGTGCTTATTTAGTACTTACAAACTATTTGTTTAAAATTTCAAAGTAGTCCAGTTAAACATCCTTCCCTAAATTTAATGCAAAGTGTGTAAAATCATCTTCTAAGCATTGCATCTTATCCTTCTTTCCCTTCTCTTATTTCTGTACAACTTAAGGACCTCACAGGACAATTAACAATGATTGTTCCCCTGCCTAAGTGTTCCAACAAAGACTACACACACAAACAAATTAAGAATTAAACCATCTCTGGAAAAACTTAAATCCTGTTACTTTGTTGAGCTTTTTGATTACGAAACAGCTTTTTATAGTGGGGACACACAGCTTTAGAATGGATTTCCAGGAGTGAAACAGGACTGCAGCAGAATTGGAATTAATATTCTTGATTCCCATATTCCACTAACCACATTATGGACTTGCTTGTCAAAATACACCAGAGAAATTTTGATGATGTCTGCAAGAAAGAATGGAGGCTGTTTTTAAAAGCCTACAATGCCTGTAGACCTCTTCTCTTAAACTAAAACAGGTTCTCAAAAAAAAACCCAAACCCAAACCCAAAAACTCCAAAAACCGAGGCCTTTACTTCCCATATACAAAGTTTTATAAAAGTTACTGACCCACAGAAATTATCTAAATTTTTTTTGGTGCTAAATGTTAATTATTGCTGAGACTTCTGTGGTTAGCGATGAGACGACTTCTGCATGAGCCTGGTTGGCTCTGCATGCTCAGTGTTTGTACTAGTCAATAATGATGGCCAATATTGCTCGTTTTCTGGGTAGTCTCACAAAGGAACAGACACTCGAGCGCCAACCCAGTGAAGCCTGTGCAACAACTATGGCTCACTGCCTCCATAAAACCCAGCCATGTGCTCAAGTACTCTGCTGAGCACCACCCTAGCCAGCATTTTCAAGAAATGCTCTTTTTCAGATGTGGACACATCATATTTAAATAACCTCTTAAGATCAGCCCAGAAAAGGTAAGTCAACAGAACTAGTCATGGGAAGGTTTGAGCTACAGATTAAAAAGATTTCAGTCTGCGATCAATGCCACTAGTACTAACTGGAGTTATCCATGAAAATTTCCTGTACATCCTCAGAAGAATAAGCCGAAAGAGTCTCAATAACTAAAATATGTATCTGCTAAGTAAAGCTTTAATCATCTGGAGCCTTATAACCACTACACATTACAATCCCAAATCCTGAAGGGGCCAGTGCAGCGAAGAGCTTGTCTCTATTTCCATTCCAGTTCCTCGGGCTGGGCGTTTAATATCACGGTTGTCTCAAATCACATTGGGCTGAAACTTGGCACATGATTCTATCAGCCCAGATGTAACTTCTTTTTTCTTTTCTTTTTTTGGTACTGAAAACTTCATTTAAATCAGTTCAGCTGTTTATAATTTGGAGATTGACCAAAACTGG